ATGCACTATGGGCATTTGAGAGACTACAGTTAATCCAACTATGTGATTTTGGATTCTGGGGGAAACCCGTGCCGACGGAGGAGTCCACGCAAACTTCACATACAGTCGTGTTGCCACCATCACCATCATTATTATAATTATTGCTTAGGCCACACTTACTGATTCGGCAGTTTGTATGTCTGGATGTTTTATCGCAGCAATTCAGGTGGAGTAACTCGACTCCCAGGATACAGCAGCAGAGCTGAGGTCTGAATGCTGCTCATGCTGGATAATGTACACAAGACATTTTGTCTGTAGGGGAAAGAAAACCTGATATGATGACATAAAGGTGTCTGTCTGATTATTTATTTATTTATTTGAAAAAATAGGTTGTTTATTTGCAGGGACGTAGAACAGAATGTTCGCTATATCCATTCAGGTCCCAGTGAAACGTCTGGGCAGTGTGTGTCTAACAGATCCTCGTCTTCAGTGCTGGTGCCTTGTGACCAGCTGTGGCGTCCATCTTGAAAGGAGATCGCCCATCGTCTGGACGTGGGCATTTCCTCTAAATAGACACGTTTCACGTGTGACGGCTCTACATCCCAGATGAATGATCGTATATTTTTATTATTCCCTAATTTTCTTTCTCCCCGTTTTTGTAGCATATCGAGATTAAGTAAACGGTTACATTAAAGATATACTATGAATGTAACTCAAAGCTGAACGGTATGTGTTATCCTGTAACGGCTTTCTCTGGATTCACCGAAATTTCTATGCTGTACCTTAATGCCATTTAGGCCTTTCAAATAAAAGGTGTTGCCTTGCATTCTTCTTTGCCGAACTCGTGGTCACTTTGCTGAATGCGCTGGATGGGTAATGGAAATGACAGATGCACTCCATTACAGTCAAGGAGCCAGGTAGTATCTCCCCTCCATCCGTCTTCCACAGCCACTTCCCCAGTGCAGTCTATCCCAGGATCCATAGGATACCCTGGATGGGATGATTCAGTCCATGTTGGCTGATAAGTCTTGGGTTTTTTCCATATTTTTTTTTATTTTAACATAGCGCTGTATATTTTCTTAATTGTGTTTATAGCTGAGGGACTTTTTGCAAACCTAATTTGAAAAATTGTATTGGAATATGCACTTATACAAAGGAAGCAACATTAATTGTTAAAATACACATTCGTTCAGGCAGAGAAATACTCCCTGCTTATCTGTGTTCAGGAAAAACCATCCTGGGATAGTGTGACAGCGCCGGACGCTACACCAGGCCACTGCAGACCACCCACAACCGGGTAACCTTGGTGACTAGTGTCCTTTGGAACAGGAAAGGCAGGCAAACCCCACAAGTCCCAAGGGACAGAGTTGATCGCACAATCGCAGCATTGCAATGACTGCACCCCTTGGTCACTGCCAACCACAGATAATCCGGTGCTCCAAGAGTAATAAAACTACCATTAAAAAAAAAAAACATCACACATTAGAACCAATAATATTTTCTGTTTAATGTGGACTGGTTATTCCCTTTAAACACATATGGTATTTTTTTATAAGTCATTTTCATACCTGGTTCAAGTAAAAAATATCTCAAGTGCTGTTTGCAATCTGTGGAGCTCAGTTGGTTACAGTGCTATGCCCATGAACAAGAGGTTGTATTACAATCCAGTGGCTGACATAGTAATCATATCACCAACAGGCCCCTGAGCAAAGCCCTTAGCCCCAACTGCTCGAGAAAAACTGCCTGACTCTGCTCTCTGATCCTCACTTGTAACACCATATCCACTAAATAATGTTAATGTAAAACTGACTCTCACCTACTGGAAACCAGTATTGCTTTCCTCCCACAGTTTGAATTCCTGCAGTAAAGATAACTGGCATTTCTAAACTGTCCATATTTTTTGTGGGTGTGGACTGGCATCCTGTCCAGGGTTTACTGATACTATCTGCTGTTTATAGCCCACGCAACCCTGTCTGGGATGAGTTGTTGAAAGTTTGAATGGGTTTTGATGTATAGGCTACAAACATTTTATTACTGATGCCATGATTTTTTACCTTAATGCCTTTGCAGATGGGGCTTCTTTCAATAACGAATTCATAATTCTTATTTATATCAATATTAATATTTAAGTATTGCTATGTACTATTGCATATAATGTGCATATACTGTAAATTCAGTGTTTTGCTAGCAGAACATGTGTGCAATTATTAAACGATTTGATTAAAACCATTACAGAAGAATTTATGTTGTTTAATAACAGGTACAAATGATATAAACACGTTTAGGATCTAATGACCCGAAAGCACTGATTTTAAAGCCATGTACAACTGCTCCTTCAGCGTCAAATATGGCCGCGGACTCCCGAAACAGCGATGGACTACAACTCCCAATGCATCGCGCACGTCGCACGGGACGTTGCGTAGCGCGATTCATGTCGCCTGCGCGTAACCGAGACGAGCCGGATGAGCGAGCCGCGGTCTGTCGCCTTCTCCATCCCGGAAGGTGTCTGAGCAGCGACGCTTTTTAAAAATGACGGCGGCGTGTCGTACATCGGAGTGCGAAAGGCGAGCATCGCTGGACGCCTGCTGATTTAAGGTTGAGGGCGCGTCGTGTGCGGCTGCCTACAGGCACTGGCTCACTCTTTGCGACGTGGTTCGGGCGACTCCTCCCGCATAATCCCCCGGAAAGGCTGCCGCGGGCTGCCCGTTTTAAGCTCTAAACGTGCTGGGCCGAGGCTCTTCCTCCGCTCGGTCGTTAAACAGCCTTCCTAGCCTGACTGCCCCGGGTTATGATTACCAGACCGACTAGTTAGTTCGCTACTGTGGAAGGCGAGGAAGCCAGCAGCCCCGTTATGGACGGGTAAAAAGGTGGATCGGATAGATAAACGCGGGGCTGGTACTTAAGTTGGCCGGACCGATCGGTTGTTGCCTCTCGTCCAGCCGAGTCGCATGGCTCCCTGTTCCGTGTGGGACCGACGCCGGCACTGTACGGCCTGCGTCGCATCTTTGCAGAGATCCGAGTAGCGGCAAGTCGGTGGCCGCAGACATGGCCGCCGCCTCCGGCTTCGCACCGGGTGATAGCGGGTCGTGGAACGGTTCGCCGCACCCCCCCGCCGGCTCCGGGCCAACAGGACAGTCGCAGGTTGCCGTGGCCGTATGGGAGTGGCAGGACGACCAGGGCTACTGGCGGCCGTATAGCGGCCAGGTGAGCTGCTACATCGAGCAGTGCCTTCTGAACCAGCGGGGCCTCCGGGCCGCGGGACACGCCTCCACCAGCATCTCCTTGGGCCAGGTGGACCCCAGCCTGGCCCCGTACATAATCGACATCCCCAGCCTCAAGCAGTTCCGCCAGGACACGGGTAAGTCCCATACAGACGGTTAACGGGTGGACTGTCCGCTCTTAAGATGCATTTTGACGTTTACATTTCATGCTAAACCGGATTATCTGGCGATAACCTGCATATAACTAAATTAACTAGGTGAATCAGAATCTTGCTGGCTGAAAACTTGCCGTGGTGCAGGTTGTTTACCAGCAACTTTGGGGCAGTCCAGACTGCAAGATCCCACTGACAGTCTTTAAATAGACAGGGTGTGTTGCCTAGCACTCACTGTAGCAGTTTATTATTGGAAATTACCTAAATCACACATGGGGGGGGGTCTGTCTCTCAGATGGATTTGTATGTCCATAGACCTTCAAAAGGAAGTTCAAACATCTCCACACGCAAGATCTTATTAAAGCCACACACTCTGTGTCAAACTGAAGTCTCTGTGTGCTGATGTACATTAATTGCCTGCGTATGGCGCATAGACAGTATTGGGACTCTGCCGTGGGGCCCAGAAGCGTGGTTGACATGTCCTCTTTTGCACTGTATGTGGTCCTAAGGCCAACGCTGTCTCTCCCCGCAGGAAAGATCCGCGCGGTGCGCCGCAGCCTTTTCCCGCAGTCCTCTGCCCTGGGCAGCGGCATGTACTGGGAGTGGGCGAATGACGAGGGCGGCTGGACGCCGTACGAGACGCGCACGCTGCTGCTGCTGGAGCACAGCTACCAGGCCCGGCAGAGCACTGCTGACCTGGCTCCTCACGGCTACAACTACATGGTAGACCTGCGCGCCCTGGCCCAGGTGAACAAGGGGTCTGGATACAGGCGGCAGGTGCGGCGGCGTGCGGGTCAGCCCTACCCGCTGGCAACCCAGAGCCCCGGCTCCGTCATCCACTCTGGGCCGGCCTGCTCCTGTCAGCAGTGCCTGGGTGCTGGTGGCAGCGGCACTGGGCCCATCCCCAGCCGCTCGCGCCACTCCTTCTCTGCGGGCCAGGGGCACCGCACCGCCCCCCCGGGCCCTGTGCGAGTGCCGGCTGGTGGC